CACTTTGAATTTTAATATCAATTTGTATCACAATAGAGATACGTGTATGGAGGTAATTCAGTTCTGATATCGATTTTAGGACATTTATATGTTGATGATGTGAGATTTTATGTATTATATTGATATTCTGGAATCAGGATAAAAGGACATCAACAGAATAATAAATTATCATGTTTTACCACGTTATAAGTGATAGCAGGAGTAACCATCTATTTATTTCTACCTTACACGAAGGTTAAAGTTTCTTCTGGAATGTAAGATACAGTATAATACCTAATATTCAATAAAATTTATACTTTATAATATATACTTAAAAGTATGGAAGTAGCTCTTCTAAAATGGGGGTGAATTTTTCATAATAATAGCCACAATTGGATCAGGAGTCGCATGCACAAAAAGAAATCACAATCTTGCTTTGATTGAATAATGACCTTTGCTGTTGACAAGATTTAAACAAAATAAAACCAAACCAATTTGATTATACCAATGTAAGATACATATATTTGTTTATATATTTAAATTAACGAGTTCAAATATTCATAATGCCATCAATAATTACTACAAATACAATGCAAAAATATCATTAAAGGCCCAAAACTGAGATCTACAGTATTCATTTTATATCCAACAATATACGTTTGTATGAACAATATCATATAACGTGTATACATATGTAAAAACTCAACATTTGAAACATATCACAATGGTTAGTATATCAAAAAGTTATATCAAGAAACCATTCAAAGGTCATCAGCTCTTCTTATAAAACAGAGGGAACTATGGACTCCCGGAAATTTAGTCAACACTAATCCTTTTAATCCAGCCACCATTTATCTTGTAATCAAGCCACGGCTAATTATATAATCAGGACATCCAGTCAGTATTTTAACCCTTTCACCAATATCGACCACAATGGACTCATCCAGATCAATGCATGGTTGAGTTTACTCAAGTTGCATAGGGTTGAAAGGGTTAATTAAGAGACTAACTGATCATTTTCTGTACAAAATGGTCCCCGCCTAAAGTATATTCCAGACACCTCAAAATTCAGCCACTTTTGCTGTGTCTGAAAGATGGCTGGATTATCTACTGTGAACAAAGTTAGCTAGATAATCAATGATCAAATGAAGGTTAAATAAGTAAGACAAATAATCTTTGATTCAGAATTCTTCTCCCATAGCGCAAATAACAGAGACGATGTAGCCTCTTCTGGCCATGCACATAAGGTTTACAGAATGTGAAATTAGTAAAAAACAAACCATGGCTGGTAATGGTGAAACATGTAGAAATTATGTAATATCTACTTTTAAAGTTACAGAACATAGAGTTAAAATGTACTATAAGACAAATTCATGGCCCAAATTCTACACCCTCAATTGACCTGTCCATCATAGCTACGTACGATTGAACCTGATAGGTAATGGAACACCAAACAAATCACATCGATCACAGGCTGAGGTAAGCATGATATGTTCACTACAGATATATTGTGATGATAAATTGATATATGATATATTTTTGTTCAGAAATTAAACAATGGCAAACTATTTGAATTTTTCCATCTTATATCTGGTGATGAGGAGCTACATGGTCTGGAGGTGACGATGTCCTATAATCACAAACAGAGTTAGGATAAGGCAAACAGTAGGCCTAGGAGTCGTCTTACACACAATTAGATTTATAAATTAGAACATGTAGGAAAGGCATCTCCTTCTCTCCTCTGTCATCCTTTTCTATTCCTCCACTACATGATTTATTTCTTCTTCTCATTTTCCTGTCTTTTCTTTGTCTACTGAATAGCCGAACTACTCGGTAGTGAAGCGGACGTTTAACAACTCCAACACAATATTGAGGCTAAGAAAGTATCGACGATTTGTTGATATGTTTCATAATATAAGAACATGGAATGTCTTCGTTGTTAAGTTTTGAAGGCATCTTAAGAGTTCAATTGCAAAGAAAGACATAATAAAATCATAGAAATTCAATAGAAAATCAATAGAAAAGGAGTTTGATTTTTACAATAATTAGGGACATTTATTAAAGCATACAATTTATAACTTTACAAAATATCACTACACTAAGTAATAAAATATCTATGAACCCTTTATGTTTAACACATAAGGTAAAATATAGAAAATATAATGTACCGGGTATCCTTAAAATCAATATTTTCTGAGCAAAAAGTAATTCTCTGAGAAACTATTTACACATAACATTGAAATAAATCTATAAGTCACTTTCAACAAATACAAAAAAAATGCTAAACAAATCAAAATTCAAAATAACTCCATATTGATTTACAAAATCATAATTTAGCATAAAAATACTTGTCTTTTCTTTCTTGTCTATAAAAAGTGAGAAAATGGAGAACAAAATTCAGATCTGTGGCTAACAAAATGTGATATTAACTTCAAAATAAATTTACCAATATCAGGAGTAATAAGGTAGATAAGGAGAAAAACTATGAATTTCTAAATTGATGAATATCCGAGTACTTATAGTTGGAGGTATATGCTACATTGTAACTACAGAATTATTTGATTTCTGGGCAGTATGTCTTTTGAAATTAATGTAACAAAAATATTCAAATTGTAGGCAATAAGCCAGTTTATAATTATAATGAAAATGTACATAAAGATACATATTAAAAATAATATATATGGTGAATAGTTGAATTTCGGCCGGGCTAAGAAAAAACCAGTAAAATCCATTTATATCCGACACATTTAGAAAATAATTATAGATTGAAGTTTGATTATTGCTTTTAGATCTTGCACAAATATGTAAAACTATATATCTTACCATTTAAAAATAATCATGTGTAAACACAAATATTTTTACATCATGATCAAAGCCTACTGTACATTGGGAAACCATGATACATGTAAACTGTTGAATCACTAATTCTTGAGTGTGAAAATGTTAGGGTTGTGACCAATCCCGGTGTGGAAATGTTAGGGTCGTGACCAATCCCGGTGTGGAAATGTTAGGGTTGTGACCTTTTACACCAATCCTGGTGTGGAAATGTTAGGGTTGTGACCTTTAACACCAATCCTGGTGTGGAAATGTTAGGGTTGTGACCTTTTACACCAATCCCGGTGTGGAAATGTTAGGGTTGTGACATTTTACACCAATCCCAGTGTGGAAATGTTAGGGTTGTGACATTTTACACCGATCCCGGTGTGGAAATGCTAGGGTTGTGACATTTTACACCAATCCTGGTGTGGACATTTCTGTGTCGCCAATGGTTACTCAAATCTATAACATTATTCTGTATATCTTTAATCTATATCAATGAATAAATATTTCTGGGTGGACAATTTTGTGTTAATTTACTCGACCTGAAAAACTTTAACAGGATTCTATATCAGATCAGTAATTCTAAGTTTTAGAGTATACAACAAATGTAAATATGTAAACAAACCCACAAAACATTCTGACATAATTACAACAGATACAGATCAATATTGTTATACATATAAATCATACAAGTGTCAATTCTATGCACTATATAGATTCTTTGTGCAATGTAAACCCTTTGCACAGAAATTGCTACAGAAATTATAAATTGACATTTCATATCAATGACTTACCAATAAATCAAACACAAAAGCTTTGGAAACACCAGCAATTATTACAGCACAATCTATCTACCAGGACACGTGTTTGATCAGTTTCAAAAATGTAAATATGTATAAATACTAAAGATTTACAAGAATTGGAAATAAATATTTGTTCAATATAGGTAAATATAATTCTAAAAGAAAATGTCCTAACAGGACAGTCAGTCTTGGACAAGGTAGGAAACTTGCATTCCAGAAAAAAATAACACCTATTTCTAAAATTGCACCAATTTTGAATCAATTGATCTACAAAATGAACAAGAGGCCCATTGGGCCTGTATCTCTCACCTGTTTATTTTGTTATCTGAATTAGAAAACTAGTAAACTGTCTACTAACTCAAAACCATGGTGGTCATCTTAAATTTGTAACTGACCCAAAGAATTCAATTAACAACACTCGGTGTTAATCGGAAAGTTAAAATACAGGAAGAAGTTCTAGAACTTGTAGAGGAACATGTTTGATTTTAGCGTTAAAATTTGTAAAAAAATAAGAAATCATACAAATTTCATGTCACACCTATACATACAAAAAAACAAATATTTCTTACTCTGTCTGGTAACTTTACTGAAAATAAATATGATTCATATAATATATGGACTTTTTGTATTCATACCAGCATGAACAATGAAAATTTCCCTGTATAAAATTATTGCTGACACTGAATAATAAAACAAGAGTACCATTGGAGCTGTATCGCTCACCTGGTTTTATATTTAAGTCATTTACAACTGAATGCATTAGTACATCTTTATAAGAAATTTCCTCAAAAACAGACAAGATCTATGTTCTAAACCCAACTGGGACCACAATATCTGACTTTCTACTAATCAGGGGCCTCCATTGAGTTGCCATGTTTATGTCAATTACAATTAAGAAATGTTTGTTCTTCCTCAATAATGTTTTTGACCAAATTTTTTACAATCCACTCAGGGAATTAGGGGGTATTAGCGTCTTAAAGCAAAATATTAGATAATTTTCCTCTTTGGGGACCGATCATCCTAGCCCCAGGGGTCGAACCAGCCTCATTTATTTAGAAAATGATTGCCCTCCCCCAAGGAAGTTTCAGAGCAAATTTGGTTGAAATCTTCTCTGGCGTTTAGGAGGTCGAGATACGTTTTAAAGCAAATTTGGCTAGTTCCCCTTCAGGGCCCCGCCCCCCTGGCCTCAGGGGTCGAACCAACCTCATTATTTTAAGAAATGATTGCACTTCCCTAGTGATGCTTCAGACTAAATTTGGTTGAAATCCTCTCTGGTGTTTAGGAGGAGATGCGTTTTAAAGCAAATTTGGCTACGTTTCCCTTCAGGGCCCCGCCCCCTGGCCTCAGGGGTCGACACAACCTCATTTATTTAAGAAATGATTGCCCTTCCCTAGTGATGCTTCAGACTAAATTTGGTTGAAGTCCTCTTTGGCGTTTAGGAGGAGATGGGTTTTAAAGAAAAAGTTGACGATGGACGATTGATGCTGTGCCACTACATAAGCTCACTATGGTCCTTCGGACCAGGTGAGCTAATAATGGAGATGATTGAATATTGTTAAAATAAATTCTAAATTATGTAATTGACACTTTATATTATTTGTGAATTTCAATACATGTATACATCTACCAATAGTACATATCACATCTATACAATGTTAAACATATAATCACAAAAGGATTGAGGTTGTCATTATTTGATGAATGCAAAAATAAAATCATGAAAAATATCATGAACTGTAAAATATCCAAATTATACATAGTTTCTCTCTTGTTAACTAACAGAGACATATACTGCTGAAAACAAAACCTATTGGTCTTATACTCAATTTTTCTCTTTCCTGGACCAAAATTTCCTATTTTTTAACCCTCATTTTTTACATTTGATATTAGCAGATTTTCCTTCTTCAGGCTTCTTACTCAAATACAACAAATTGATTGCATGAAACAGCTTGTCTATGGCATTTTACATTCTTATCTTATCAGATACAGGCCTTTGTATGTACATTTTAAACATATCTTTGGATATTGCCATTAATATATTCTCCTCCATGAAAAACTGGAAACATTGACACGTATGATTTAGCTGTCGGTAGATAAACCACAGTTTTGTCCAATAGAGCATGTTAAGCATTGCGACTAGTGAACTGGACTTTGACGTCCTGCTTTGGTTTAGAGACAGGGAGCCATTTGTGACTAAAATCTTGGTCCCCCAGAAGCTTGAATTTCCAGGAACAAAGAAGACGCACTATAATTGTCTGTAAAAAAATATAGAAGGTTTTAACAAATTGGAAAGTATTTTTTTTCTTCATAAAATGTATTTGCTTTAAATCTGCTTTTTTATGCTTCCTACTGGTGTCCACAAGAAGTGCAATCTTCAATGTTCATCTATATACCCCAATCCCCTGTATTCCTCGTCCTACTACACATCTATATACCCCAATCCCCCCTATTCTTCGTCCTACTACACATCTATATACCCCAACCCCCAGTATTCCTCGTCCTACTACACATCTATATACCCCAACCCCCAGTATTCCTCGTCCTACTACACATCTATACACCCCAACCCCCTGTATTCCTCGTCCCACTACACATCTATATACCCCAATCCCCAGCATTCCTCATCCTACTACACATCTATATACCCCAATCCCCAGAATTCTTCGTCCTACTACACATCTATATACCCCAATCCCTTGTATTCCTCGTCCTACTACACATCTATATATCCCAATCCCCAGTATTCTTCGTCCTACTACACATGTATATACCCCAGTCCCCTGTATTCCTCGTCCTACTACCCATCTATATACCCCAATCCCCTGTATTCCTCATCCTACTACACATCTATATACCCCAATCCCTTGTATTCCTCGTCCTACTACACATCTATATTCCCCAATCCCCAGTATTCTTCGTCCTACTACCCATCTATATACCCCAATCCCCTGTATTCCTCGTCCCACTACACATCTATATACCCCAATCCCCAGCATTCCTCGTCCTACTACACATCTATATACCCCAATCCCCCCTATTCTTCGTCCTACTACACATCTATATACCCCAACCCCAGTATTCCTCGTCCTACTACACATCTATACACCCCAACCCCCTGTATTCCTCGTCCCACTACACATCTATATACCCCAATCCCCTGGATTCCTCGTCCTACTACACATCTATATACCCCAACCCCCAGTATTCCTCGTCCTACTACACATCTATACACCCCAACCCCCTGTATTCCTCGTCCCACTACACATCTATATACCCCAATCCCTTGTATTCCTCGTCCTACTACACATCTATATATCCCAATCCCCAGTATTCTTCGTCCTACTACACATCTATATACCCCAATCCCCAGTATTCTTCGTCCTACTACACATCTATATACCCCAGTCCCCTGTATTCCTCGTCCTACTACACATCTATATACCCCAATCCCCTGTATTCCTCGTCCTACTACACATCTATATACCCCAATCCCCTGTATTCCTCATCCTACTACACATCTATATACCCCAATCCCCTGTATTCCTCGTCCTACTACACATCTATATACCCCATGTAGCCACGTGCGTCAGCTGTAGGGAATTTCCCTTTAGCTCAGCAGTATAGCATCGGGCAGGAGAGCCAAGGGTAGCAAGTTCGAGCCCCATAGATGGCACCATCTTTATCACTATTCCTCGTCCTACTACACTTCTATAATAAAGTATTTACTCAATCCCCTGTATTACTTTTACTGCCCATCTGAAAAAAATAGCTTGTTGTGCAAAAATTCAACACTATTAATCATAAGATAGTGTGCAGTTCAATTATATTATATCCTAATTAACACTGACATTTTATACTCCATATATTTCATGTCACTATTGAAAACTTTATGAGCACTCTCCCCAACTTTCCCTTCAAATATTCAAACAGATTATAACCTGCAGTCTAACCAATTTCTACAAACTGACCTTGAAAATCTTCCACACCAGGTGCTGTCCTATACAGCTACGTGGACCTGCTCCAAAGCAGAACAGCTTCTCCTTCTCCGCTGGAGAACTGTAACATAACGATCAGTATCAGGATTTTTTTCTAAGATTCATTAGAACAAGAGGCTCAATGGGCCTGCATCACTCACCTGGTATCAATCTCAAACTTCTTACCTTAAAAGTGGACTAAAATAAAGTAACATGCATGACTACAAATCATTAAAAAGAACCTGTTTAAAAATCTACACTTATTTGACCCTGTGACTTTGAACAAACTTGGTAGCCCTTCAGTCCAGCATGTTACTGGCTAAATATCCTTATCCTGGGCCTTTTTGATATTCAGAAGACGTTGTTTGAAAGCTTTTAAGTTAATTGATCCCTGTGACCTTGAATACAAGCCAAGGTCATTCACTTGAACAAACTTGGTAGTCCTTCATCTTAGCATGCTACTGGTCAAATACCATCACCCTAGGCCTCTTGGTTATTCAGAAGAAGTAGTTTAAAGTAAAAAGTTGACGCTGGACAGACGCCAGACAAACGGATGATGGACACCGCACCATGTCCTATTTTCAGGCTAACTTGCACTGCTACATATAGTTTCCGTACCTATAATTCAGCAGTCTAGTAAAAATTGTGATGAAATAAAAATACTGATAATTTACACAATACTGTATATATATACGAAGTTGTCCTACTAGTGATAACAAATATTAAAATTAAAACGTCTGGTTCAAAATTAAATACTCCTATTCTCAGCTGATTTAATATATTGGCTAAATAGCAGATAAGTTCCAATTCATCTCCTTGTTATTTCATGTTACAGGGGGCAATGAATTGATAATGATTTTTTTAATTTGTATGTTGCAGATAAAAAGGAATGATAGTTAAATAATATTTCTCTCTATTGTCTTCACTTTGTGCGTCAGAAGCAAAGAGATGATAATTAGCATAACTTTGTTTCATCGCTTGTGAATATACAGAGGCAAGGTGGTGAACAGAAGAAATGAAGGAGAACATAAAAGAAGAGTATGGGATGCCAATTGATGCATTGCTGCCTTTGTGACTCAAGAGGAGATGGAGTGAAAGGCTAAAGAAAGATAACTCTTGTTTCTTCACCCTCTGCAACACAAATACAACAAATAAATTATAATTATTGTCCTGGTGCCTACTGTACACACAAAATAAGGAGAAGACAAGACGACATAAATCAGCCACCAATGTTTGTACACTAGAGTTACCAGTTTATCCAACGGTGTGGGTTAAATGTATCGGGGTCGACAAAGGCTTCCGGGTCTCGGTGGGCTGCCTGGGTCACGTACATAATGGAATGTCCAGAAGGAATCTTCCACCCTCCTAATACTACATCCTGTAACAGATTATACATCATTGTACTCTCTCCTAACACTACATCCTGTAACAGGTAAAATCATTATACACTCTCCTAATACTACATCCTGTGAAAGGTAACTCTCCTAATACTTCATCATGTAACAATGTAACAAGTAAAATCATTATACACGCTCCTAATACTACATCATGTAAAAATGTAACAAGTAAAATCAGTATACACTCTCCTAATACTACATCCTGTGACAGGTTAAATAGATTTACTAGTTTCACTAAACTAAGTAAACTACAGCAAATGCATCAGCTTTTCAAATGCAAATTTGTTTTCTGTAGCTAATTCTTCATCTCCTTTCCTGCAATGTAAATATGGAAATACATATATAGCCAAATATACCTATAAGAACAAAAACTTCACTGGATATATATATTCACCTTTTTGACGATTCTGCGTCCACCGAGGAATGGTGGGTAAAGTCTTTGTACCTCTAACAACACAGCCTCCATCATGTCTGGGTCACTGAGAAGCTTCTCCTGTAAATCTCCCTGTTAACAAAGTATTACCAGTGACAGTCAAAAAGGGAGAAATACATGCATTAGTGTCATGTCATTGTTAAGTATTAAAACATTTAGCACAGTAGTCTAGTGTGCCGGGCTCATTAACGAAGAGTTGCGGAATCTGTGTTGTATCTGGACCGGCTGTGTGCTCCCAAGGGAGTTGAGAAAGATTTTGGCTGGTTACAAATGCCCTACACCTTGGAGATGACCTACAAACTAGGTTGTGATAAAGCGGTATATAATAACCTCAAATTATTGTTATTATTATTTTAGAAGACTGCATTAAATTCATTGAAGAACAATTACGTTAATAACAATTATGTTTAATACATACTTCATGATCAGCCAGTAAAACTGTACATGTCTGCAAACAGTTTTCATGAATGACACAACTTTGATGGCAAACATGATGACTGTAAGTGATATATCAACACATGGTTAAATACTTAAATTTACAGTTATTGATTTTTTTCAATGTCATAGAAATTAAAATCTGCTTTAAACTCAGCACTCAATGTATGTACAATGTATGCTTGTTCTTCATTGAATATGCATTTACCATGGAGTGTAAGCTGGTATCCAATTTCTAAACTAGCTGTAACAAACAGCATGGTATTTACAGTCTTATGAATGCCATCCAAAAATGAAAGAGTTATTGTGGCAGTGCAATAGAGTGGTAAACAAACTGAATTGACTGACACACATTCCTATAAAAAGTAACAGGAAACTTAGTTTTAATCTTGGAAACCCTGAAATACAAACTTATTGAAAGTATCCTCATATTCGACCTTTGTTTAAAGTTTTCTCGAAATCTGTAAAGAAACTAGAACACTGACAGGTCAGTAAGGGCTCCGTCTTGTGGCAATATATCCCCCATAATCATCAAGAAGCAATCTGCCCATATAGCTGAGCTTGACGTTTGACATTTGGACTTCAAAAAGAATCGCAAGGAAGCAAAATATACATTTTACATGTACTATGATGTGAGTCTTGTTTCCTTCCACCTCCATATTTGCTGGGCTAACAGAAATATAAATACCGGTGCAATAATCATTTGTTAGCTTCGTTTGATCTTTGATCAGTTGACTTATTCTTTAATTCCGACCAACTTTGCTTCATAATATCATAACAAAATGTTCGTCAGTGAAAAATACAAAACTTGACCTTGACCCTTTGGACCCCGAAACCTGGACCTAAGGTCAGTTGACTCTGTGTTAAGTTCTGAACAACATTGCTTCATAATGTCATAACAAAATGTTCATCAGGGAAAAGGTACAAAATGTAACCTTCGCCTTTGACCCAGTGACCTTGACCTTTGGTCAATCGACTCCTTGTTTAATTCTGAGCAACATTGCTTCAAAGTGTCCACCAGTGAAAAGATACAAAATTTAACCTTGACATTTGATCCAATGACCTTGACCTTTGGTCAGTTGACTTCTTGTTTAATTCTGATCAACTTTGCTTCATCATGTCATAACAAAATGTTCATCAGTGAAAAGATGCAAAAATTGACCTTGACCTTTGAATCTTATGACCTTGACCGTTGATCTCGACTTTTTATCTCAGTGTGTCTCTTTGCTTAATTCCGAACAACTTTACTTCATAATGTCATAGCGAAATGTTCACCAGTGAAAAGCTACAAAATTTGACCTTGACCTGTGACCCGATGACCTTGACCTTTGGTCAGTTGACTCCTTGTTTAATTCTGATCAACTTTGCTTCATAACGTCATAACAAAATGTTTATCAGTGAAAAGATTTAAAATTTGACCTTGACCTTTGGACCTAATGACCTTGACCTTTGACCTTGACTTTTTACCTCAATGTGTATTTTTGTGAACTGAACATATTGACCAAGTTTCAAGTACATCGGTCAATAATAACATTTTTTTTAGCCAGGAACTAAATTTGTGGACGGACAGACAGACAGACAGACAGACAGACAGACAGAGTGATTACAATTGTACTATAGGGCACCCGTATCTCCGATACGGGGCCCTAATGAAGTTGCTTGATTGATGACACTGAATAGGAATTAACAGGACAGACGAGGTAACACTAAATTCCTTTTCGGCCTCACCCCTTAAATAAATGCATACCTCCTTTTTTCCCACCTCCATGATTAGAGAGGTCAGCAGGGAAGACAAGGCCTTCGGTACCAGAGCTGATGTAAACAACAGAAGATGGTTGTTGATGAAGACTTCACGGAGGCCACCACTGGTAGCTGTATCTTCAACCTTCTGAGCAAACTGTCCAGAACTTTCTTCTCGCTTTGAGATTATGATCTTTAACAGTGAATCCTGTGTGGAAAAAAATGTTTTTTGTTATATACAATAAAAAAAACTTGGAGAGATAATTCTTCAAAAATTAATTAAGTACACACTATATTTTTTAAAACCTATATGTCACACACCCCATAAGATTTTAGTGTTAACATGCATGGCCAATTCCAGTTGTACCACAGGTGAGACAGAAGATGGAGAATACGTGGTCAGACCAGGATGGGATTCAAACCTTGAACCTCGGAACTCTAAACATACATTCTAAACAATAGGGCTTCATGTTCCAGCTGGTCGCCAGTGAATGACACAGTCTAGTTTCACCGTCTTATTCCTACCCTGTAATACATGACACAGTCTAGTTTCACCATCTTATTCCTACCCTGTACATGACACAGTCTAGTTTCGCCATCTTATTCATACCCTGTAATACATGACAACATTTAGAAGTGTTTGTTAGTTACTTACCTTAGCATGGAGAGCCTGACTGTAGGTGGAGCCACTTGTCATTGGCAGTTTGAGGGGTAAAGGTACGGATATGATACCTGTACAAAAAATATCAAAAGACATCTCGGTAATAAATATTAATATTTAAAATATTTTTCATGCAACCATCTTCAGTTTAATTCCATACAAAACCTCATTTTTCATTAACAAATTTTAAAAAAGTAAGTATACTCCACATTACATGAACTTCATTGAGTTAAGACAAAGAGTTCTTAGTTAAACAAGCTCAAAGTGATAATGATATAATGTGTTAATTCTATAGATTCTGGAACAAATCAGATTATCTCTATACATGTATAGTTACCATGCCAGTGAGTCGTTGTCAAGGCGACAATGGTATCAGCTGTTTGGGAGGCATCACTAAAATTTAGTCCTAGAAACACGCTCAGACAAATCTCGGTACAGATTTTTTTCATGAGTGAGTAAACACAGGTTGGTTCCCTGAAAACAAATGAAAATGTCCATTCTGTGAAAATAAAACCAATAAATCTCACAAGGTTTATTTCTTTGTTATATCAGTGGCCTAAGCTATGTCATAGTAACCCTAGAGAAGGAGACAAAAAAAGTAGTTCATGTCATGGTAACGCTAGAAAAGGAAGGGGTCGGGTGGTGCAGTGGAAAGCGCACTTGTCTTTCACCAAGGCGGCCGGGGTTTGATTCCCCGATCGGACGTGAAAAGGTTGGGGTCACCTCCCCGACCACGTGGGTTTTCTCCAGGTTTTCCGGTTTCCTCTTACACTAAGACCCCCCACGCGCTAAAATCCGGGCCAACAAAGTGATTGATATACGTTGAAATAACTTGTTTCATAATTGTTGTTAAATAAATAAAGTTTATATTAGAAAAGGAAAGAAAGCAGTTCATGTCATAGTAACCCTAGAGAAGGAAAGAAAGAAAAAGAAAAAGAAAGTAGTTAATGTCATGGTAACCCTAGAGAAGGAAAGAAAGAAAAAGAAAAAAAAAGTAGTTCATGTCATGGTAACCCTAGAGAAGGAAAGAAAGAAAAAGAATAGTAATTCATGTCATGGTTACCCTAGAGAAGGAAAGAAAGAAAAAGAAAAGTAGTTCATGTCATGGTAACCCTAGAGAAGGAAAGAAAGAAAAAGAAAGTATAGTTCATGTCATGGTAACCCTAGAGAAGGAAAGAACGGAAAAGAAAAAGAGTGAAGTACAGGCTAGTGCAGTATCATCAGCTTCGTGAGGAACGGCCAGAGCCCAAAACTATGTGTTACTACTAGTAGTGATGGGCAATCAGTTTAAAATTGTAAGTGCATGATAATCGGTTTGTAATCAAAGTAAAATGATTGATGATCAATTGTATAAATGGTTGATAATGTTATGGGACTGACTACCCAAATACAGTGAGAACACTACTGTTGCATCAATGGACAGAGTTGTTATAACTATACATTTGGTTTTGTTTTTGTTTATTATGGATGAATTTCAAGCAATTTTTAATGAACAAACCAGGCTGGTATCAAGTTTGTGAAACCAGGGGAGAAAGCCACAGTGAAGCCTTGAAGCACTTCATCCATCTTGGAACGGGCGCCAACATGCATGGGAGATGAAGGTTGACCTTGACAGGAAGCTTGTGTTTCCAGGAAAAGTGGAAACAACACTGAGGCCTGACATGGTAATATGGACAGAGCAATCCAGACACCTCATCGTCATAGAGCTCACCGTACCATGGGAGGAAGGCTGCGAGGAAGCTCACGAGAGGAAGAAAGTGAAGTATGATGAGCTGATGGAAAAGTGCAGAAGCAGAGGATGGACAGTATGGCTCTTTCCAGAGGAGGTTGGCTGTAGAGGTTTCCCACACAGTCAGTGTGGAGGACACTACAGTCGACACGACTCACTGGGAGGGCAAGAGCTACTGCCATCAGACGATTGGGAGAAGCTGCAGAGAGAGCATCATGCTAGCTATGGCACAAACGAGAAGAGCCGATGTGGAAGCCGACATAGACGAGTAGTGGTTTGGCCACCACTACTGTCCCACCAGCCGGAGGATGTAGTGATTAAGGGTCGAAACATCTGAAGAGGGCTGGCCATCACCTGATGACATCAAATGAGGCTTCGCGACTAGAATGACAGCAATGACGGACTTCAAGTTAAGGATGTCACAAGATGCAGAATTACCATCATCTGTAAGCAATCATCACAATGTAGTCTTGTCAATCATAAAATAAAAGTCACAAGAATAACTGACTTTCATTGTATCCTTTACATTGTCTACATCTGACACTTTGATTTCAATAATGAACCAATTGTATCGATTATAGAACCTATAATTAGAACTGGAAATGGCAAACTGTCGGTGGAATTGGGAAAATAGGTGTGTCCAGGCTTAAATGAGGACTTGTTGGAAGAATAAAGACAGCACGGATGGTAAGTGTGGAAGGTTTCTTGTGAAATCTAGAAAACATTTCAATATTTCCCAGGAGAATTACAAGACTTAGTGTAATAGAAGAGAAATGCATGAACAGACTGGGATTCAAAACAGAGACCCTCTGAACTCTAGATGGATGCAGACTACCGACTGAGCTATAAACTACATTGTGGCCGGCGTTCAACCCATGCAGTCCAGTTCCGCTACACAAAGAAATCACAACAGGCCACGCAGACATCAAAATGGCCAACTGCTTACCGCCTCACAATTAACTCCAATCAGCGTGGCACTGGTTTACATACTAACAGCAAAACAAGAGGCCTATGGGCCTTAACGGTCACCTGATATATTTATACAGAGAGTTGATTTCGTTTTTAACATGAACAGAAATATTATTCAAAGTGACAAAAAACAATAAAACCACCTTATTCAATATCAAGCATACAGATTTCAGACTAAAAAGGATTTGAAACTAGCACCTCTGATTCTAAACAAGGAAAATGAAGAAATTTTAGCACACTGACTCCCTTGAGCCCC